AATAAAATGTCAATTTAAAAAAAAAACTAATAAATTTAAGTGGTTTTCAAATAAATCAAAACAAACTAACTCAAATACATTGTGGTTTGGTTTGGTCTAAAATTATAATTTTAGTGTAAAAATCAAGCAAATCGCTCAACTTAGTTTGGCTTAATCGGTTCGACTAGTTTTTTTCTCAACCGTACTACTTGCAGGCCACGAGACCATAGTGAGTGTTCATAAGCATAACGCACAGGTTTTGGTGGTGAACAATTCTTCTGTGTGGCCAAACTATAGGGGGAATTCAGTCTTTGTGAGGGTGGTCACATTTCCACGTGATCTGAACTGCCATATATAAGAATTTCTCTATTGAGATTAGAGCAATAGTGCAAAATGTAATTCTATTTTTTAGACAAGCGATATTGAAGGAGAGAGACTTGAATCTAGAACCTTAAATGCAGGAATAAATATTTTTAACCATTTGAACTACAAATCCCCTCCTAAATGTAATTCATCTTAAAATATTACTTTTCATTAAGTTGCAGTGGCATAGCGTTGGTAGCGGCAGCAACTCGACTGAGTTTTGTTTAGGATTTGTTTGCTGTCTTTACCTTTTGTTTGAGCTTTTGTGGGCTTTATGCATATGTGGGCTTTAGGCTTGTTGTGGGCATTATGTCTTTAATTTGGACCTCTGGTCTTTTTGTTTTGATGTTTAGCTCAGTTTGTTGAGTCTCACTTTTATATTGTATTTTGAACCCTTTTATGAGTTTCTAATGAACTCTAGTTCCAAAAGAAAGAGAGAAAGGGTTATGGAATCTCTGTGCCAATTTTGCACCTCCAAAGTCAACGTGACGATTTGGTTGCAATATTCAGAAATTGATCATTGGACGCTACTGTTAATTATTACATTTTGACTTCACATGATAGTTTTTGATTACTCACACATCCAATGATGAAACCCAATTATATTAGCAAAATATTCAAATGGTTAATGATGCTTTTCGTTACTTTAAACACACTAAAAGTCTAAGCTATATATTGTGCCCAATAAAATCTAAACCATCTATAAGGCCATCTCCAGTCATAGGACTAAATGTAGTCCATGGCTAAAAATTTAGCCCTCCAAAATATTAATTTTTTAAAGAATAGTGCAGGGTTAAATTTTTCCATCTCCAACCATGCAGGGCTATATTTTAGGATCCTTCATATTTTATTATATATATCCAGCTATGACATCATCTTACTTTATTGTTGGCTTTTAAAAAGCAAATGCATGGGCCCACAAAAATTTGGCCTAGACTAAAGGTGGGCTATATGTGGCCTGGTTGGAGGGCTAAAGGGCCAAATGTGGCCCTCCAAATTTGACCAAAATTTTATTTAGCCCATGGCTGGAGATGAATTTTGCATGATTTTAGGGCTATATTTGGGATATAGCCCATGGCTGGAGATTGCCTAACTACCCGTCGCACAAAAGTTTCACCCCACCCCACGTATAAAATAAGGTTAAAGTAATTTAAATTCACCACATGAAAAATGCTAAGCTAAATTCATCAAGATCATTGCTGAAAAGGTTAATGGCTCACGCTTCTTGAATGTCATCAGCATTTGTAAAAACAATTGTACTTTGTCAATGAATATAGATTGCTAATATCATTTGTTTGCTATTATAATCAAACCAAACTTACTAAGCAGTTTGGTTCGGTCATTTCTCTTCATAAATATTCTATATTTCCTTATGTTACTTTCAATTGCGAAATCTTATCGTTGAAGATGGAAAAAATTCGAGAGAGAAATTATCTTAAATTGGAATGGTTCGTTTCTATGTTTTTTTTCTTTTTTCTGTAAAATGCGAATCAAATTACTTAGATATCTTAGTTTCTCCCGTTGAGACAATGTATTAATATGTGTTTAGCAAACCTCTAATTTCAACAATTTATTAATATGTGTAACAAAAATTATCAACTTTTGATGTAGGTGAGCTCTAAAATAGAATTTAGGCACAATCAACAATTAATCGGCCGTTCATTTTGCGCTGGCGACTGTCCAAACAGGAAACAAATCTGAATTAATTAATTAATTAATTAAAATTAATTAATGGCGTGGGAAAACACTAATTGAAAATTAAAAACATCCCTCTGGCACCAACCGCCAGGCCAGGCTGCCCCTGTCAGAGGCATGATTCTCACTGTCTCACTCTCTCTCACATTGACGAATGACAAAGTCCCAGTTGTCCTACAAAACGACACCGTCTTCCACCCCAGAAAGGAATCTATTTATTTGCCGTTTCAACTTTCAAAAGCCTCCTTTGGCCCTCTCTCTCTCTCTCTCCATCCACCTCATCGTTGTTTCCGTTTTTTCTCTCATTTCCTTGCTCTTTGAAAAGCCCACACCACACCACAACCCTCTGCTGTGCTCTCTCCGCTCCAATTCGTGCAGTGACTTTGATCCAACACTTGGATCGCATTCTCTCCTCGATCGATTCGCCTTAGGGTAAGTCATGCGATGAGTCTCAGAATTCAGATCTAGATATATATGTGTATATACATATGTATAATTGTGTGTGTACGGTTTTGATACGGTGTGTTTGGATTTGAATTGGTTGCAGGTTAGAGAGATCGGAGAGGAGAGGCTGTATGGCGAGTAGAGTAGACCACGAGTACGACTATCTGTTCAAGATCGTGTTGATCGGTGACTCTGGTGTGGGCAAATCTAACATTCTCTCTAGGTTTACCAGAAATGAGTTCTGCTTGGAATCTAAGTCAACTATCGGCGTCGAGTTCGCTACGAGAACTCTCCAGGCAAGTCACCTTCTCATTTGATCTTGTTTCTAAGTCTTGCTTAGTCTGTTTGTGTGTAAATCTGTGTGAATGTTGATAAATGTTTTACTTGCTTAATTTTATTGGCGTTGAATGTGATATTTGTTTGTGATGTTTCCGAGGTGGTTTAAGGTTTGGGGTTTTAGGAGTTTGAATTCATTTGGTTGAAGTTTTGTTTGGATGCTTAAGAGCTTGTGATGATTATTTGGATTTTGTTTATGGATTTACTTCTTTGATTGAAGATCATCAAATTTGTTATTAATAGCTTGGTGGATGGAGCTTGGGTTTGTTTCTTTTAGTACTTTAGTTTTTAGAAGATCAGAATTGGTTGTTCTGTGTGGGGTACTCAATGGCCAAATAAGCTTGATGAACCGGTGTGGAAAACATCCAGTCTTCCTGTTTGATAGAAGTGGGGGTTTATTTTACACTAAGGCTGGCTTGCAGAGTTCTATAGAGAGGATTGATTTTTCAAGCAGTTGACTGTTGATGATATTTAAGTTTGATAATGAAACCAAACTTGCATAGTTTCATGGAGGTACATGCAAGAACATGTGTCTCAGTTTTCTTCATCCTTCCTATTTGGAACATAATAAGAGAGTACAAACTGATCACAATTGGAAACTAAATAACGGCCCAATGAGGTTGGGGTTTGTTTAAATCTAGTCTTGAGTTTGTTTGGTGGGTCAGGATACTATGGGTCAGTTAGTTTTGTGTTGTGCATATGGCCTGTTGATTGAACGCTTTGTATACAGACCGATGAGGACACATTTTTCTAGCATTAACAACATGTGCAGCTAATACGGTTGAATGTTAAGTTTCTCTTGTATTATGAATGGCGTAATACTGGTTCCAGAGAATATTCATGAGTTTGAAACATACAATTGTCTTTGTAGTGTACCATTCAGTATGTGTTGATTACTAGAAAAGAACCATAAATACAATGTACAGATGACACAAGTGGGTTTGTGAATTATGGCTTGCAATTTGATCTGAGCTAAAACTCCTTGTCTGGAATTACAGGTTGAAGGAAAGACTGTGAAGGCACAGATCTGGGATACAGCAGGTCAGGAGCGATACCGTGCTATCACCAGTGCTTACTATAGAGGGGCAGTGGGTGCTCTCCTTGTCTATGACATAACTAAGCGTCCAACTTTTGAAAATGTCCAAAGGTGGCTCCGTGAATTGAGGGACCATGCAGATTCGAACATTGTTATCATGATGACAGGAAACAAGTCTGACTTGAACCATCTTAGATCTGTTTCAGAGGATGATGGTCAGACCTTGGCTGAGAGGGAAGGTCTCTCATTTCTTGAGACATCAGCATTGGAAGCAACCAATGTTGAGAAGGCATTTCAAACTATTCTTACTGAGATCTACCATATTGTAAGCAAAAAAGCACTGGCAGCTCAGGAAGCAGTCTCGACTACCCTGCCTGGTCAAGGAACCACTATCAATGTTAGTGATGCTTCTGGGAACAATAACAAGAGAGGTTGCTGCTCTACATAAAAGATGACACCTAGGAGAGGAGGGGAAATATTTTCTGGATGCCAGACCTTTTTCTTTTTCTTTTCTTTAGTTTCTTTTTTTCTTCTTTTTTGGGTGACAGGGAGGCATGTAGAATACAATTTTACTTCATTGAGTTGTGATAAAAAAAGCTTGTGAAAATGAAATTACAGTAGTATTGGTACATTTCGGGGGTCTGCTTTTACTTATGATTCACCATTTGTTATACTTATATGTTGCTTTTTATAAAGTGTAACTACCGAAATTTGGAATGTTAGGTAGAACTTGGCATCTCAAATTAAAGAATCAATGGAACAGATTCAGAGTTTTATTCAGTGTTTCGTTTCTAAGCCACTTCTAAAATTGTAATAAAGGCTTAATACCTTTTTATTATATCCTAAATTCACTTCTTCTTTTACCTTCTCTCCTGTAATTGGTTTGCTTGCGAAGTCTCCGTGGTGGTGGCATTTGCACCGTGCATTTTTTTCTTGTTATTCTGGGTTGCAGAGTTCGTAAACAGTTTGTGCTCAACTCAATCCGAAGTTCAGTTAACCAAACGTTGAATGTAGTGGTTGCCTGGGTTTGTTTGCCAGTTCCTCACTAACTGAGTGGCTTGAAGTTTAAGTGCTCAAAACCTGTCCAATTTGTGAGGATGGTAGACAAAGGCATCACACTTTCCATATCTCAAGTTCTATTAAAAGGTTAAGAGGAAAAGGTAAAGAATTTAATAAGATCCAACAAAAGTGTAGGTTTTTTACCCAAAAAACAAACAGAGGATAGGCTGAATCTGAAGTCTACTATTCAATCTGTATAGTTACATGATGTATTCTGTAAGTTCTTTCACAGTAATCCCTAATTTTGCCAATTATCTCACTAGAGCTCACTGCCGGCTCTGCCTTTACATGGCAAGACAAAACCGTTTTTCCAACTGTCAGTTCCCAAACATGTAGGTCGTTAATATCCTCAACCCCTTTGATGCACTTGATGCCTTTTTCTAGATTGGTGATATCAATCTCACTTGGTGTTCTCTCCATCAGTATGCCATATATATTTCTAAGCATCGATGTAGTTGTGCTAACAGCAAAAACAGAAAATATGAGTGTGCATATCAGATCAACTACAAACCAATCTGGCTTTGCCCATATGATGCCTCCAGCAATCATCACCCCAACAGACTGAATCATATCAGCGATGACATGCAAGTAAGCTCCTTGGAGGTTTATGTTTAATATTTTAGTATTTTCCGGAGAACTTGATACCAGACTAGTTTTATCGTCTTCAGTTATTGCATATTCTTCCTCCCTGTCGTGATGATGATCATGATGATGATCGTGATTATGCTCCTGATTATGATCATGTCCTAAGCCTCCACAGGCATGATGAGTGTGATCATGACCGAGCCACATGACCATGATTAAGTTGACAAGAAATCCAAATGCTGCAACTTCAAACATGAGGAATCCATTCACCTTTTCATTTTTGTGAAGGATTCTGCCAACTGCTTCATAGATCAAGATCCCAGAGACCAGCCATATTAGCTGCACAGACAGAAGGGCACTCAAAACCTCAAGACGGTGATATCCAAATGACTGGTATGATGTTGCCTCCCAACCTGAAGCCATTACTGTGAAATGAGCAATGGAGAATCCAGCAACATCAGTGAGCAAGTGGGCTGCATCCGTGAGTACTGCAAGGCTATTGGCTTTGACACCACCAATAATTTCTACCACCATAAACAAGACAGAGGCAACAATGAGTCCACAAAGTTTTTTTGCTGACTTGGACCGTTCTCTTGAATCCAAACTACAATGTTCTTTTTTGAAGAAAACACAAACAGAAGAGCAAGGTAACTGTGGTGGCACAGGAAGAGCATCAATTCCTTCAGATACTATTGGGATCTCAATTTCCTGAGACTCTGTTCTAGTAAAGGGTACCTCCTCATGGTCCATCTGCTTCAGCAAAGTCATGGTTAACACTTAATTTCTTAAAAGAGGAGGGGAAAATATGATAAAGAGATTCATTAATATAATTAGGGGTGCTTGCTGATCATAAAGAATCAATTTTAACGCCCTGCTCAATCCCAAGCATTCAATTTTGCAACACACCTAATTTTTTTTTTCCCAATCAACACACCTAATTAACCTAAGAGACCCAGAACTTCAAATTGCATGAACTACCATTATGCTTTATTTGATACAATCATATAATCAAAATCCACATGAAAATCCAAATACCCACTTCAAAAAAATCAAAGAATCCAAAAAGTTAAAACAAAAATAAACAGAATTTTTTTTAAAGTGATCAATTGGAGGTACCTGAGAATCAGAGGAGAGCGAAGAACAGCTTTGATGGGTCTCTTTGGGGTCTCACAGGTTTAGAAAGTATCGATGGAATTTATAGGGAAAGATTGAAATGAATTAATTTGGTTGTCACGTACATGGAAAGTTGGAAAATCACTCATAATGTGTGTGCTCAGTCGTCAAGAAGTAAAAAATGGCATTCTGAATGCTCAATCCTCAATTCTCGGGGACTACGGTCCTTTTAGGTTTAACGTTAAAGACATCGCAATCAGGACGAAAACAATGGAGTTGATGGGTCGGCCTGCTGTGGTAAATCAAATTTGAGATTTTCACTCAAATTTGATTCGATTCGATTCGATTCGAGCAAGAGTTTGAAGAATTCTGTTCCCACATCAAAGACTAGTACCGAAGAAGTTGGATCCCTTTACTAATTATCTTTGCCTTATTTTATATTGACTCGTCAATGTAAATTAATAACCATTAATTAGTTCTCACTCTTATAAGGTACAGTCTAAATTATAAGGTGAGGTATGAACAAGACAAAAAAAAAAAAAAACAGAGGTGAGGAGGTTTCTAATACACACTACTAATGTGTTATTATGGAGGTTCGAACTTGAAACCATTAGTTTGTAACTCAAGATTATTTGTCACCCAACTAGACCCCCGGTGACAATTAGTTCTCAGTCTAAATGATCATTTTTTTCTCTTACTTTTATTGTTTTCACAAAATGATATTGTAATTATTCTAATGTAAATGAAGGAGATTAAACTCAAGTGCAAAACATAAGGCACATTATGGCATAACCTACGTATGCCACAAAATTACGTCATAGTAAAGGATCCACTAGTGTAGTTGTATGGAGTAATTGCGCTCCCATACAAGGTTCTAGGTTCGAGTCTTTGTATCCGTATTGTTCGTATAAATTTTGTATATTATCGTTCCTCTCAACATAAAAAGTCCCAAAAAAAACCAGGTCATATTTGCTAGAAAAGACCCCATCATGTTTTGTGTTAACATGTTATGAACGTGTAAACAAGGGCGGAAGTGTGACCGGGGTGGGCTATGGTGCAGGATTTGGTAAAAGAAGACTAAGCTCTCCATAGTTTTTGACTCTCATAAATATTAGCCCACCCCTCCTTACCAAGTCAAAGCGTAATTGTTGGGTTCAACTTCAACTTGTACGAGCAAATATGACGAACAAAATAACTTGTAGAAACTGAACAAGACATGTAGTTGTATACCTTGGGTTCTTGTTGGGTTCAATTTGCACAAGTAAAATGAGGTGATTCTTGCTCACATCAAGTTGTCTAAATGTCCATCTTTATTCTTCATGTGTATTTTATGCGTGTGGTCGAATCTTGTTTTGAAAGTAAGTCATATATACAAATTGAACTTAGTTTTCATTTCAATTCCAGAATTCCATTCTAATCTGATAATGCCACTGACAAATCTATTTCGAATATTTATTTCTTTTGCTTCTACCTTTTACTGTCGTAAATATTTGTGTGATGCTTGAAAATATGTACTCGATTTCTTTTTATTTATTTGTATTTGTGTTATTGTTTAGAATTTATAAATAAATAAATTTTAAAAAAAAGAACTTGTTTGGTTTATAAATTTTAACTAGACTACTTTACAAATAAACTTAATTTATTTTTCTCAATATTGAAGTTTAGGGTTGCTAATGAACATACAGAAAAAAGAAGTTCAAAATTGGATTATTGGAGCTCACTTTACTTGTGTTTTATATGATTGCTATTATAATAAGAAGAAATGCATCAAGGCTTCTTTAAATAAAAAAAATTTCTTTGATTTTTTTTTTTTTAATACAAGCGATAGTCTAAACTATAATAAGAGGGAGTTTCAAGGCCAGGTGTCATGAGGATTCGAACTTGAGACCAATAGTCTGCAAATCAAGACCATTTTTCACTAAGGCTATACTCCATTAGCAACTTTCTTTGTTTTTCGATTGCAAGGGTTTAGAAATATTTTAAGAAAATGATGAAAAAGGAAATGGGCTTTATTTATGGGCCCAGGCCCAGTACCCGATTATCTTCCAAAACATAAAATCGGTTCGATCGTCTCTTTCATTTGGGCCTCCGGACCTTTGGAAAATTTTCAAGATCACCGTTCTCTCTACGCAAAACAATCGCAGAGAGAAACGCCGTGCAGTCGCAGAGGCTGACGAGAGAGCGAATTCCTCCGCCTTAGCTCGTCTTTACTCTGCCATGGACTCACGCCACGCATCTCTAGGCCGACGAACGGTTCAGATCTCATCGCCCGCCACCTTTTTTTTTTTTTCAAATTTAAATCCGAATAATCGTATTTTTCTTCAATTTGTTTTTTTTATTTGAAATTTTCAGTTGGAAGATATTCGCCAAAAGCGAGCTGCAGAAAAATTGAGCAAAACTTCTTCGGGACCCGATCTCAGCAAAGCCTCAATCCCTATCGGTTCGTCATCTATATTTCGTTAAATTTCGCAATTAAATTTGCTATTGATTTTGTGAGTTATTGCTAACGTCGTTCATTGCACAGACCATGTAGGAATGAGAAAATCGGAGAGTGCAAGTCGGCTATCTGAGGTAGGAGGAGCTAGTTTCTGTATTTTTTTTAGAAAAGAAAAAGATTCTGAATTTTTTTTTTTTGAAGCTTTCGTTTGGTTGCTGAGAAAATCAAGTTTAAATTCTCATGTAATTTTAATGGCTTGTGCAGAGCGACGTTGGCGATTTGGTTGCTCAGATAAAAGACTTGGAGAGGAAGAATGCAGAACTGGAAGAACAAAACAAAAACTTGGCTTCCATGGTAGGTCTATTATTTATATAGTTTTGTGTTTCTTTCTTAGTTTGCAGTTTAGGAGACTTTTAGTTATGGGTGATGATCAATTGTGGTGTGCCTAATTAGTTAGTTTTCTTGATGTTTCAGCTTGAAACTAAGGAAGCTGGGGGTGACGTGCTGCAGAAACGTTTGAATGATCTGGTAAATGCAACTTTTAGATATCTCCAATTTCCTTTTCAGTAAAAGATTTTGTCTTTTTATGTCTAATGTATTGTCAACTCTATCTTCCATATATTATGTCTTGTAATGTCTGTGTATATTGTTTTCTTTTCAGGGTGCATATTAGTTTTCTGCTGCTTGTACTAACATTATTACTTAAAAATATTGGTATGAAATAAATGCACAACTATTGGAGAGAAAAAGGGGTTTTCCTAGTTAAATATTTCTGCCTGTTCCCATATGCTTTGTTTGTTGTAAATTGCAGGAGAAAAACACTGTACCGTCTCTCAGAAAAGCTCTCAAGGACGTTGCAATGGAGAAAGATGCGGCAGTTGTTGCACGGGTACTGACCATGTATATGTTAGTTGGTGATTCATCTCACTTGGTTCATCATGTTTTGTGTCACTCTCAATCTGGTTTCATAGTGTAGGAGGATCTTTCAGCTCAGCTTCGTACGCTCAAGAAACGTCTGAAAGATGCAGAAGAAGAACAGTATCGTGTATGCAATTAGTTTTCCATTAGTTCTCTTGGAACAGCAGATTATTATGCTTTTCTCACTTGTTGTCTTGCAACAGGCTGAGGAAGATGCAGCATCCTTGAGAGCCGAACTGAATATGATACAACAACAAGCAATGAGTGGTACACTTAGTGCAGTAACCTCAATTGCTAATTCACCAGATCAGATACAAACCTTAGAAAAGGAGTTAGCTAGCTTAAAATTTGAGTTACAGGTGATAATTTGTTTAATGGACCTTGTGTAGTTTTGCTTCTGGTTCTTGTTTGTAGGCATTTGACTTTGGTACAAATTTTGTAGCGAGAGTCGCAATTGAGGCAGCAAGAGCGACAACAATTAGCTGAGGAGCAAGCCCGGGCATCCACCCTTACATCTGAAAAGCAGGAATTGGAAGAAAAGCTCGAAGCTATTTCTAGAAAGGCTTCAGGTACAAAATCTACCAAATATATATGCAGAGATTACAACACCATAAGGAATTTCAGAAAATCTCCTTTCAGATATTCGATGTACTTTAAAAGGAGAGGACTTTAGGGGCCTACTTTAACTCTTAGGGTGAACATAGTCTCATGTGGAAGAGACTGATGAACAGTTGTACCTATAAGGCTGTTGGTCAAGAAAAGTTAAACAAATTGGTCATTGTTGGCTTGAAATTTTCCTCTTAGGGGATGAGGATTTCAATACAGCTACCATTGCATTTTGTTTGCATATTCAGCAATACATTCATACGTTCCTCTATGTCTAATTTAAGATTTAGAACCTAGATCACTTGACGGCTCGGGGTATATGGAGTTGCAACTGGAACCCCCGTTGGCTTTTTTTATTCCAAACATAATTGTTTGTTCTTGATGCCTTCTGTTGTGTTTTGATTTGCTATATCTCTTTTATGGCTCTGTCAGTTGTGTTGTCGTTTGGCCTTTTAGTATAATTCATTTCTTGGATAATGGCGTTTAATAAAAAAGAAAGCTCTTATGAATGTTGTTTCCCTTGTTCATGCACTGCAGAAGTCTCAGAGAAAGTGGCTGGCAAGGAATTTTCATTAGTAAGTTAATTTATTGATGATCTTGTTAAATCCTTTTATAGTTGCTTTGTCTATGATCAGATGCCAAACAAAATAGGGAGGAAAACAAGGAGGCAGCTACTTAATGAGTTCATCTCAGTCACAATTGAGTGCAAATGTTAATGAGTTAAAATTTGAGTGGTCTCTTATCAAGTTCATGTGGTTCTAGTCCACTTGCATTACTTTTTTTTGCTATTATTGTTAGTATGAGTGTGACTGATCAGTTCTACCTCCTTTTTTTCTTGTTGTTTCTTGATTAATTTTATTTGGATAAATGTTTTACTGGTTAATGCATTAATGACCAGGAGGACAAGGAGAAACTTGAGAAGCAGTTGCATGACATGGCTGTAGTGATTGAGAAATTGGAAAGCAGTAGACAAAAGCTTTTGATAGAGGTTATCCTTGCAACTCTTTCTTATTTTACTCCAATATGATTTTTTGGTGTATGTCTTTGACAGCAAACTCGCTTTTTGTAAATGGTGGCAGATTGATTCCCAATCTTCGGAGATAGAAAGGCTTTTTGAGGAAAATTCTAATCTCTCGAGTTCCTATCAGGAGTCAATGAGCATATCAGTGCACTGGGAGAATCAGGTAATTGTCAATGGCTAAGGTGATGGAGAATGACAGAATGTAGCTTGTGGTTCTAGGAACTGGTGTTGCCTATCTGTTCACTTATCCGTTATACATTTTTCCTAATATTACGTGGCACATTGGATTCCAAATAATTAGGCCGAAACAGTTGTCAACTGTACATGGAAAATGGTTGTTATGGCCTGAGCTTACACTTTACTATGCTGGACTAGTAAATTCAGTTAATCTGGTGCATGTTTGCAGTATGAAACTGCATTGTGATACTGAATCAG